AACTGGCCCCGAGGCACTGGAGGTGGGAACTGTGGAATGAGGAGAACTGAAAGGGCTGAAAAGGGAGTGCATTTCATTATGGGGGAGGGGTTTTACTGCAGCGCACAGAACATTCACTTGATCCATTCTGACTGCTTCTGAACCTCAACCTGCAGGGTTAGTTTCTGTGTGTGAGCTTTCCCACTATCCACTGTTTGCTTTAATCTTTTAGTTGCAGTGCCTGATCTTTCTCCGCTCTGCCTTGCAAAGTGCAATGCAACACATGTGTAACAGCTGATGTTGGAAAACCCACCGATGTGCATTGTGCACCATCACGGAATAACACACACACGGCCGGTGGGTTCGGGAAATCGGAACAGCGTTCTTGTCGTGTCCCATTTTCCCCCATCCCTCTCCGCCCCCCTCCCTCCCTCCCTCCATCCCCCCTCCCTCTCTCCCTCTCCCTAAGACTGTTTGTGGTGTAGTAGCAGGAGGTTTAATCCTCTCCCCCTCCCTCCCTCCCTCCCTCCCTCCCTCCCTCCCTCCCTCCCTCCCTCCCTCCCTCCCTCCCTCCCTCCCTCTCCCCCTAAGACTGTTTGTGGTGTAGTAGCAGGAGGTTTTATCCTCTCCGCCCCCCTCCCTCCCCCCTCTCTCCCTCTCCCTAAGACTGTTTGTGGTGTAGTAGCAGGAGGTTTTTATCCTCTCCGCCTCCCTCCCTCCCTCCCTCCTCTCTCCCTCTCCCTAAGACTGTTTGTGGTGTAGTAGCAGGAGGTTTAATCCTCTCCGCCCCCCTCCCTCCCTCCCTCCCTCCCTCCCCCCCTCTCTCCCTCTCCCTAAGACTGTTTGTGGTGTAGTAGCAGGAGGTTTTTATCCTCTCCGCCCCCCCTCCCTCCCTCCCTCCCCCCTCCCTCCCTCCCCCTAAGACTGTTTGCGGTGTAGTAGCAGGAGGTTTAATCCTCTCCGCCCCCCTCCCTCCCCCCCTCTCTCCCTCTCCCTCCCCCCTAAGACTGCTTGCGGTGTAGTAGCAGGAGGTTTAATCCTCTCCGCCCCCCTCCCTCCCTCCCTCCCTCCCTCCCTCTCTCCCTCCCCCCCTCCCCCTAAGACTGTTTTGTGGTGTAGTAGCAGGAGGTTTAATCCTCTCCGCCCCCCTCCCTCCCCCCCCCCTCCCCCTAAGACTGTTTGTGGTGTAGTAGCAGGAGGTTTAATCCTCTCCGCCCCCCTCCCTCCCCCCTCTCTCCCTCCCCCTAAGACTGTTTGTGGTGTAGTAGCAGGAGGTTTAATCCTCTCCGCCCCCCTCCCTCCCCCCCTCTCTCCCTCCCCCTAAGACTGTTTGTGGTGTAGTAGCAGGAGGTTTTATCCTCTCCGCCCCCCTCCCTCCCTCCCTCCCTCCCTCCCCCCTCCCCTCCCTCCCCCCTAAGACTGTTTGTGGTGTAGTAGCAGGAGGTTTAATCCTCTCCGCCCCCCCTCCCTCCCTCCCCCCTCTCTCCCCTCTCCCTAAGAATGTTTGTGGTGTAGTAGCAGGAGGTTTAATCCTCTCCGCCCCCCCTCCCTCCCTCCCCCCTCTCTCCCTCCCCCCCTCTCCCTAAGACTGTTTGTGGTGTAGTAGCAGGAGGTTTTATCCTCTCCCGCCCCCCTCCCTCCCTCCCCCCTCTCTCCCTCCCCCCTAAGACTGTTTGTGGTGTAGTAGCAGGAGGTTTAATCCTCTCCGCCCCCCTCCCTCCCTCCCTCCCTCCCCCCTCTCTCCCTCTCCCTAAGACTGTTTGTGGTGTAGTAGCAGGAGGTTTAATCCTCTCCCGCCCCCCTCCCTCCCTCCCTCCCTCCCCCTAAGACTGTTTGTGGTGTAGTAGCAGGAGGTTTAAATCCTCTCCGCCCCCCCTCCCTCCCTCCCTCCCCCCCCTCCCTCCCTCCCTCTCCCTAAGACTGTTTGTGGTGTAGTAGCAGGAGGTTTAATCCTCTCCGCCCCCCTCCATCCCCCCTCTCTTCCTCTCCCTCCCCCCTAAGACTGCTTGCGGTGTAGTAGCAGGACGTTTTATCCATTCTTGGAACATCGGAACATGCTTTTGCTTCTTAAGGCTGGTTTGTTAGTTAGGGGACCGCAAAGAGGATGCTTGCTGGAGCATCTCCTCATACCCTCTTCCTAAAACTCTTTCTTTCTCTCTCTCATCCTTTATTTTTCCTCTCCTCTCCATACACCATCTTCACTAAACTCTCCTTTCTATACACCATCTTCACTAAACTCTCCTCTCTATACACCATCTTCACTACACTCTCCTCTCCATACACCATCTTCACTAAACTCTCCTCTCTATACACCATCTTCACTACACTCTCCTCTCCATACACCATCTTCACTAAACTTTCCTTTCTATACACTATCTTCACTAAACTCTCCTCTCTATACACCATCTTCACTAAACTCTCCTCTCCATACACCATCTTCACTACACTCTCCTCTCTATACACCATTTTCACTACACTCTCCTCTCCATACACCATCTTCACTAAACTCTCCTCTCTATACACCATCTTCACTAAACTCTCCTCTCCATACACCATCTTCACTAAACTCTCCTCTCTATATACCATCTTCACTAAACTCTCCTCTCTATACACATTCTTCACTACACTCTCCTCTCTATACACCATTTTTACTACACTCTCCTCTCCATACACCATCTTCACTAAACTCTCCTCTCCATACACCATCTTCACTAAACTCTCCTCTCCATACACCATCTTCACTACACTCTCCTCTCTATACACCATCTTCACTACACTCTCCTCTCTATACACCATCTTCACTAAACTCTCCTCTCTATACACCATCTTCACTACACTCTCCTCTCTATACACCATCTTCACTACACTCTCCTCTCCATACACCATCTTCACTACACTCTCCTCTCTATACACCATCTTCACTACACTCTCCTCTCTATACACCATCTTCACTAAACTCTCCTCTTAACTCTCTTCCCTTTTCTCTGTTCTCTACTTCCTAACGCTCTTCCTTTCACCCTTAGGCTCTCTCTCTCTCCTCTCCGTCCCTCAAACTATCCCTCTCCCATCCTTTCTTTTCTCACTCCTCTATGTACCACTTTTCCAGGCTCCACCACATTCATCATTTAGCCCAGTGTGGTTCTGCTGCTTATCTCTAATGGACAAACCCTGCAACGATCGCTGTGCTCCTCATGAATAACTACACACACACTCATCAATATTAAAACTTCTCGGATACGTTCATTACACACTCTGGCCTAACGGGGGCGCTCTATCACCTGGGCTATATGGGAGAGTACAGGGTACTTTACCATAGTGATGGAAAACAACAACAGTCTGATTGCTATATACATAGCTGTGAGTGTCTTCATCCAGTGTGATTTGCTGTCTTTATCTAGAGCAAGCTGAAAGAGCCTGATGAAAGTGCTATAAGTTGAATAATTGATTTCCACTAAATTGCAGAGAACGGTGTGTGAGTACAGTGGTTTATCAATACTGCTGCTATTCTTTGTCTGTCAAGCACACAGTTCTAAAAAAGCTTGCAGCAGACACGTTTTCCATTGTTACAACTAAAATCACAACTGTATTTTTTGTCCTAAAACAGATTGCCTTGGAAACACAACTCAATCATTTAAAATAAACACTTTAAATGTAGGCATTATTCAAGCCATATTCATTGTTGTTTCATTTCATTGTTGTTTTCAAGCTTGATTGAAAGTAGGACAAAACGAAAAGAGAGAGAGGTAGAGAGCAAGAGCGAGAGCGAGACAGAGACAGAGAGACAGAGACAGAGACAGAGAGAGAGACAGAGACAGAGACAGAGAGAGAGAGAGAGAGAGAGAGAAGGGAAAAGAAAGAGAACCCAATATGGCAGGACTCAAGATGACAGGACTCAATATGACAGGACTCAAGATGACAGGACTCAATATGACAGGACTCAATATGACAGGACTCAATATGACAGGACTCAAGATGGCAGGACTCAACATGACAGGACTCAAGATGACAGGACTCAAGATGACAGGACTCAATATGACAGGACTCAATATGACAGGACTCAATATGACAGGACTCAATATGACAGGACTCAAGATGGCAGGACTCAATATGACAGGACTCAAGATGGCAGGACTCAATATGACAGGACTCAAGATGACAGGACTCAAGATGACAGGACTCAAGATGGCAGGACTCAAGATGGCAGGACTCAAGATGGCAGGACTCAAGATGGCAGGACTCAATATGACAGGACTCAATATGACAGGACTCAATATGACAGGACTCAAGATGACAGGACTCAAGTTGACAGGACTCAAGATGACAGGACTCAAGATGACAGGACTCAAGATGACAGGACTCAAGATGACAGGACTCAAGATGGCAGGACTCAAGATGACAGGACTCAAGATGGCAGGACTCAAGATGGCAGGACTCAAGATGACAGGACTCAAGATGACAGGTGAGACAGGGAAGGGACAATGGGTCTGCAGTCCTATGTTAGCACTGACAGTAGAGCCACACCCCTCTGATGAGGAGAGGAGAGGAGAGGAGAGGAGAGGAGAGGAGAGGAGAGGAGAGGAGAGGAGAGGCCGTGTGGACAAATGTGGCCTGAGTGATGCTCTCGTACACTGAGGAGAGTGGCCTAGTCTGTCATTACACACTCACACTGTCTGTCATTACACACTCATACTGTCATGGCACTTGCAACGCCACGGTTGTGGGTTCGATTCCCACGGGGGACAAGTACGAAAATGTATGTACTCACTACTGTAAGTTGCTCTGGATAAGAGCATCTGCTAAATGCTCTGGATAAGAACGCCTGCTAAATGACCAAACTGTAATACTGTCTGTCATTACAAACTCACACTGTATGTCACAGTTATAGAGGGAGGAGTGGAAAAGAGGGATATTTAATGGGAGAGTATGTAACTTAGCGCTAAGGTGCATTGTCATGGTGACAAGAGTAGGCACATTTTTATACACACACACAGTCTGAAAGCCACTTACAGCGGTGGGAGAGGTTAGCGTTCTCTCTCTGGATGTTGTTGGGCAGTAGAGGGGGTGTGGAAGTGGAGCGGGGGCCAGGGGTGGAGGTCGTAGGCCAGGTAATGGTGGAGGAGGAGGTGGAGGGAGGGGTCCTCCACGAAGCTGTGGTCCTGGGGGGAGGAGGAGGGGGGGACGTCGTAGGAACTGTGGTCGACTGTGTGGTTGTGGTCGGTTCTGTAGTTGTGGAGGTGGTTGTAGTAGCAGCTGTGGTCGTAGTGGTTGGAGAAGTAGTTGTGGTTGTAGTCGGAGCTGGGGTGGTGGCTGTGGTAGGAGCTGGAGTGGTAGTAGTGGTGGTTGTGGTAGGAGCTGCTGTGGTTGTCTTGGGTTTGACTGCAAGGAGAGAAGAGATTAAACAGAGATACTAGAGTTATCAGGCTGGCAGATCAACTGGCAGCACAGACAAGCCTTTCCTTATAAACAGACAGCGAGAGCTCCATAGTTTACATGAACAGACATCAACAGAAGTGGGTCTGAACTACTCAAAACTGCCTTCTCTGCACTTAGAAGTCATAAAATGCTTGTAGAGCACAGACATTAGAGAGAACACATCCTTTTGTATTTATTCCGTTTCTATCTATTCCCAGTGAGTGAGAGTGTGAACACCCTCCCCTTTCTGGTACAGAGTATCTGCAGTGCAGTCAGGCTGCCTGGTGGCCTGTATTCATCCCTCATCCCTCTCTCTTTCTCTGGGGACAGCACTGCGACAACCCACCTGTGTACCTCCAGACACAGAGAGTCTCCAGAGGGGGGGAGAGGACAAGAATGGAATAGCCATACAATAGACACAGAGTGTTCCCAAGGGAGGACAGGACAGGAATGGAAGAGATAATGGAGGGCACTATAGGGCACAGATTGACAGTGAGCAAGGGCTAACTGAGTGAGATTGATTGGCAGGTGGAACATTGAAATGGATCTGTTGTCGTGTGGGAGAGGAGTAAAATGGGAAAGGGAAAGAGTGTAACACGTGTTAAACAGTTGACCTATTTAACAGTGGGGAAGGGAAAGAGTGTAACACGTGTTAAACAGTTGACCTATTTCACAGTGGGGAAGGGAAAGGGTGTAACACGTGTTAAACAGTTTACCTATTTCACAGTGGGGAAGGGAAAGGGTGTAACACGTGTTAAACAGTTGACCTATTTAACAGTGGGGAAGGGAAAGAGTGTAACACGTGTTAAACAGTTGAGCTATTTAACAGTGGGGAAGGGAAAGAGTGTAACACGTGTTAAACAGTTGCCCTATTTAACAGTGGGGAAGGGAAAGAGTGTAACACGTGTTAAACAGTTGACCTATTTCACAGTGGGGAAAGGAAAGAGTGTAACGCGTGTTAAACAGTTTACCTATTTCACAGTGGGGAAGGGAAAGAGTGTAACACGTGTTAAACAGTTTACCTATTTCACAGTGGGGAAAGGAAAGAGTGTAACGCGTGTTAAACAGTTTACCTATTTCACAGTGGGGAAGGGAAAGAGTGTAACACGTGTTAAACAGTTTACCTATTTCACAGTGGGGAAAGGAAAGAGTGTAACGCGTGTTAAACAGTTGACCTATTTCACAGTGGGGAAGGGAAAGGGTGTAACACGTGTTAAACAGTTGACCTATTTAACAGTGGGGAAGGGAAAGAGTGTAACACGTGTTAAACAGTTGAGCTATTTAACAGTGGGGAAGGGAAAGAGTGTAACACGTGTTAAACAGTTGCCCTATTTAACAGTGGGGAAGGGAAAGAGTGTAACACGTGTTAAACAGTTGACCTATTTCACAGTGGGGAAAGGAAAGAGTGTAACGCGTGTTAAACAGTTTACCTATTTCACAGTGGGGAAGGGAAAGGGTGTAACACGTGTTAAACAGTTTACCTATTTCACAGTGGGGAAGGGAAAGGGTGTAACACGTGTTAAACAGTTTACCTATTTAACAGTGGGGAAGGGAAAGAGTGTAACACGTGTTAAACAGTTGAGCTATTTAACAGTGGGGAAGGGAAAGAGTGTAACACGTGTTAAACAGTTGCCCTATTTAACAGTGGGGAAGGGAAAGAGTGTAACACGTGTTAAACAGTTGACCTATTTCACAGTGGGGAAAGGAAAGAGTGTAACGCATGTTAAACAGTTTACCTATTTCACAGTGGGGAAGGGAAAGAGTGTAACACGTGTTAAACAGTTTACCTATTTCACAGTGGGGAAAGGAAAGAGTGTAACGCGTGTTAAACAGTTTACCTATTTCACAGTGGGGAAGGGAAAGAGTGTAACACGTGTTAAACAGTTTACCTATTTCACAGTGGGGAAAGGAAAGAGTGTAACGCGTGTTAAACAGTTGACCTATTTCACAGTGGGGAAGGGAAAGAGTGTAACACGTGTTAAACAGTTTACCTATGGCACATCGTCTCATGCCTGGTCCCAGCTCCATGCCGTCCGGGCAGGCACAGGTGTACTTGGGGGAGTGGTCAGTGATCTGGGGGGCTTTGAGACACAGGTACTCACAGCCCCCGTTAGGTAGACTGCCCATGTTACAGCTGTCTGGAGCTAGACAGGAAGACACAGCAGAGACATATCAACCATTAGTATGTGTAACAGTAACATAATGTGTCATAACACAAGTAATATGACTCAGGCACTCAACATGTACAGTGGGGAGAACAAGTATTTGATACACTGCCGGTTTTGCAGGTTTTCCTACTTACAAAGCATGTAGAGGTCTGTAATTTTTTATCTTAGGTACACTTCAACTGTGAGAGACGGAATCTAAAACAAAAATCCAGAAAATCACATTGGAGAAGGTCTGTATGGAGGAGTGGGCCAAATCCCTGCTGCAGTGTGTGCAAACCTGGTCAAGACCTACAGGAAACGTATGATCTCTGTAATTGCAAACAAAGGTTTCTGTACCAAATATTATGTTCTGCTTTTCTGATTTATCAAATACTTATGTCATGCAATAAAATGCAAATTAATTACTTAAAATCATACAATGTGATTTTCTGGATGTTTGTTTTAGATTCCGTCTCTCACAGTTGAAGTGTACCTATGATAAAAATTACAGACCTCTACATGCTTTGTAAGTAGGAAAACCTGCAAAATCGGCAGTGTATCAGATACTTGTTCTCCCCACTGTATTTATAACACTCATTGACTAAACATTATTGTTACGGTACAAAGACATCCTCTCTATGTTTCCTACTTAGCAGCTATGCATAAAAATAAGATGAAATATTATGCCCAAAAACCCGCTAAGAAATATTATGCCCAAAAACCCGCTAAGGTACATTACAAAACATATCCCTTCCCTCCTTCCAACCCCAAAAGGCTGTGCACACCTCGCTAGGTCTAAAACGGACTAGTGAAACAGTTTTTATGTCCCCAACTCTGAAGAGGAGATGGGGTAGAGGAGGCCGATCCTAAGGAATGGGATATGTGCTGTTATACAAGAGGATGCTGCAAACCCTGCAGAGAAGTTGCAATACTCCTCTCCCCTCAGTTCTTCTAGAGACAGACATATCACTACCACAGAAACTCAGCTAGCTTCAAAGTTCAGTTCACACAGACACAAAAAAAAAGAAAAAAAAAGAGAAGCTGAGGAAGAAAGAAAAGAAAAGTCTTCCTGAACTGTGGAGATTTAAAAAGCCTTAGAACAGAATGGGATCTTCTCACAGGATATGGAAATATAACCATTTAAAATGAAGCCAGGGTTTGCAGCATCCTCTTGTATAACAGCACATATCCCATTCCTTAGGATTGGCCTCCTCTACCCCATCTCCTCTTCAGAGTTGGGGACATAAAAACTGTAGGGGTATTGTGCTGTTGTTCATTGAATGACCTTTCGCTATGGGTTTTGAAAATAGTTATTCTTAAAAGAGAGAGAGTGATAGCGAGAGAGATATTGAGAGAGAAACATAGGAGAGAGATAGAAATACTGAGGATAGAGAAAGAGAGACAGAGGGACAGCGAGAGAGAGAGAGACAGAGAGATAGAGACAGAGAGAGACAGACAGAAAGAGAGAGACTGATAGAGAGCGACTGACAGAGAGAGAGAGAGAATAGGGTAATGAACCACATCTTCTTGAAACCTGCAGAGGTAGCACTATGATTAATATTTCACCTTGGAGATATTTGAAACTAAGATTGTGTCTCAAATGGCACCCTATTCCCTATATAGTGCACTACTTTAGACCAGAGAATGGCACCCTATTCCCTATATAGTGCACTACTTTTGACCAGGGCAAAATGTAGGGAATGGGGTGACATTTGGGATGCAGGCTAACTCCGCAGCACTATTTCATTCATATATTTCTTTGATTAATATTTTATTAGTAGTGCTCTTTATTAATGAGAGACTGTAATCAGCTCCACTCTAGTGGCACTGAGACAACACCGGCTCTGACTGAGACGGAAAACAAAGGACCAAAACACAATGCTCACACACTTCTGCAGACACTCCTGCATGCAGACACACACACGCGCGCACGGACACACACCCGTGTGCACACACAGGGGCTTGGATACACACACAGACACACCACGAGAGGATGCATATATACACTACATGACTAAAAGTATGTGGACACCTGTTTGTTGAACATCTCATTTTAAAATCATGGGCATTAATATTCAGTTGGTCCCCCCTTTGCTGCTATAACAGCCTCCACTCTTCTGGGAAGGCTTTCCACTAGATTTTGGAACATTGCTGCGGGGACTTGCTTCCATTCAGCCACAAGAGCGTTAGTGAGGTCGGGCACTGATGTTGGGCGATTAGGCCTGGCTCATAGTCGGCATTCTAATTCACCCCGAAGTTGTTCGATGGGGTTGAGGTCAGGGCTCTGTGCAGGCCAGTCAAGTTCTTCCACACCGATCTCGACAAGCCATTTCTGTATGGACATTGCTTTGTGCATGAGGGCATTGTCATGCTGAAACAGGAATGGGCCTTCCCCAAACTGTTGCCACAAAGTTGGAAGCACAGAATCGTCTAGAATGTCATTGTATGCTGTAGCGTTAAGATTTCCCTTCACTGGAACTAAGGGGCCTAACCCAAACCATGAAAAACAGCCCCAGACCATTATTCCTCCTCCACCAAACTTTACAGTTGGCCCTATGCATTGGGCAGGTAGCGTTCTCCTGGCATCCGCCAAACCCAGATTTGTCCGTTGGACCTTCAGATGGTGAAGCGTGATTCATCACTCTAGAGAACGCGTTTCCACTGCTCCAGAGTCCAATGGCGGCGAGCTTTACACCCCTCCAGCCGACGCTTGGCATTGCGCATGGTGATTTTAGGCTTGTGTGCGGCTGCTCGGCCATGGAAACCCATTTCATGAAGCTCCCTACGAACAGTTCCTATGCTGACCGGGGCAGCTCTAGCAGGGCAGAAATTTGACGAACTGACTTGTTGGAAAGGTGGCATCCTATGACGGTGCCACGTTGAAAGTCACTGAGCTCTTCAGTAAGGCCATTCTACTGCCAATGTTTGTCTATGTAGATTGCATGGCTGTGTGCTCGATTTTATACACCAGTCAGCAACAGGTGTGGCTGAAATAGCCGAATCCACTAATTTGAAGGGGTGAACACATACTTTTGTATATATAGTGTATTTTCCAGTGTTGCAGACAGACATACACATTAATATTGACACTTGACCCATTTCTCTCAGGCAAAATAACATACAGGTAGTGTTCCAGTGATCTATAAAGAAAAACACTACAAAATAAATACTGTGTGTATGCGTATGAGCATGTATGTGTGTGTGTATATGTCTCTCACCTTTGGGTTGGCGTAGTTCGTGGAACACGACAACATCTAGAGGGTTATTTAGGTGTTCTGCTAGCGTAGCCACATCATGTCCTGTTAGCCTGTTAGCGCTGTAGATAGCCTCATCCTCCAGGTCTGTCCAGTACACACGGTCCTGCAGGGAGACATGGCAATGGTTCAGTCCTCAACCCACAACACATAAGCAGTTGTTTTCTATGATGTGTGAGGCAGCGAGACAGGAAGCTGTGTCATATCAAATGATGGCAGTACAGTAAGTGAGCTGGAGAATAATATATATGTTGTTACAAAGCCTGCAGACAGAGGGGGTGTCATTGTTGTCACTGTCAATACACAGGCAGATCGCTCAAGAGTGACTTCGAAATTGGCCGTCTAACCACATCCTGAGGACATCGGGAAAGTAGGCTTGAGTTTTGTATAGTGCACCCACCAAAATCTACAGTCTTAAGTAGCCTATCACACTTTGTGGAGCTACCAGACCCTGATGGAGGTCCTTTACAATAGGTATAAGGGAACACCAGTGGCTGACATTGACCTCCATCAGTACATTTAACACAATGTAATGGCTTGCTACAAGAGAACCAGGGGGGATACATTCGCAGCAGGCCAACCCCGTAGAAAAAAAAAGGGGAAAAACGGGGAAGGAGAAGGGAGGAAAGAGAGAGAGGGGGAAAGATGGAGAGGGAAGAGCGAGGGAGAGGGGGAGAGCGAAGAGAGAGAAAGGAGAGAGAGAAAAAGGAAGAGGGGGAGAAGAGAGGAAGATTGAGTAAAAAACGAAAGGGGAGAAAACGTTATAATTAGATCATCCCCTCTTTTCTCTTCTCTATCTCCCCCTTCTCTCTTTCTTTCGCTGCTCCCTCAGCCTGCCCCCAGTGATAAAATAGCAGCATGAGCGGAGGATGAGGTGATAGATCCACGGTTGCTACGCCAACCTCAGATCCATCTGCTACCATGAAAAACAGAGATGGAAAGAGATAGAGAGATAGATTGAGACAGAGAAAGAATCGGATAGTTGAGAGAGAGATAGTGATCGAGAGATAGACAGAGAGCGATTATGATCGAGAGAGACAGAGAGAGCTCTGTAGAGAGGGGAGATTGTGATCGAAAAGAGGACCCCGAGAGGGGAGGAAAGGAAAAAGGAGAGGGACAGTCGAGAGATAGACAGAGAGAGATTGTGATAGGAGATAGACAGAGAGAGATCGTAATCGAGAGATAGACAGAGAGAGATTGTGATAGAGAGATAGACAGAGAGAGATCGTGATTGAGAGAGGGGCAGAGAGAGAGGTTGGGCGGGAGATAGACAAGAGAGATATTGGGAAAAGAGTAGAGAGAACAGAGCAGAGAGAGGGGCAGAGAGAACAGAGAAAGAAAAAGGGGATAGACAGAGATAGACAGAGAGCGACAGAGACAGATAGACAGAGAGATAAAAGGAGGAAGAAAATTAGAGAGAGAGGAGAGATGACAGACAGCAGCAGCGAGGAAGAGAGAAGGGGGAAGAGAGAGAGAAGGGGAGTGAGGGGAGAGAGAAACAAAGAGACAGGAGAGATAGACGAGATAGACGAACAGATAGACAGGGAGGAGAAGATAGAAGAGAGAGATTGTGATAGAGAGATAGACAGAGAGAGAGATGGATCGAGAGATAGATCCCCTTTCTTTCCATCCCTCTCTCCTCTAACCTCCCTCTCTCGAGATCGATTTTAATAACCTTTTTAAAAGCATAAAAAACAAATCCCCAGGATAATAACCTTCCCAGGGGCACCCCCCCGCGGGAGCCCGGGGGCACCCGCCCCGGCAGGCCCGCCCGCCCGGCACCCCGCCAGCGCCCCCCCCCGCCCACCCCACGCCCGCCCCCCCCCCCGCCCGCCCGGACGCCGCCCCCCCACCGCACACCGCGCCCGGCCGGCAAAACCCGCGGACGCCCCCCGGCCCGCCCCCAAGCACGACGCAGAGCACGCACCCCCCCCCCGGGGGAAACCCCCCGCGCCGGCCCGAGCGGGGGGCCCCCCGCAGCCGCCCCCGCACGCCGGACCCCGGCCCGCCCCCACCCCCGCCCCCACCCGCCCCGGGGGGCCCCCCCCGGGGAAAGCCCGGGCCGGGCCGCCCGGCACCACCCCCCGGAGAAAGCCCCCCCCCCCCCGCCCAAAACCACCCCCAAAACACCACAACCCCACCCCCCTCCCTAAAAGCCGCCCCCAACCCCCAAAAACGCCCCCCAAAACCCCCAAAAAAAAACCCCCCCCCCCCCTTTTCCCCCCAATAATTTATTCCGGTTTAAAATTCATTGCAGCCCTTTAAAAGGGGAACCCCCCTTTTAAAAAGGGGATCAAGGGGGGTTTCATGTCTTCAGGCTTAAACCCTGAGACGGCCATATCTCCCAGGCTCTTAACCCTGATCAGCCCTTAACACTACCTACCCTGACACTCCACCTTTCAACACTGGTCCTGGATCAGCTCAGCTCTACTCACACCTGTCCACTCATTACATGACTTTAGTCCCTATAGGAAAGGTGCAATGAGCTGTAAGGTAGGGCTGATATCCATTGTGCAGGGTGTCAGCTAGATGAAAGTTAAGTATAAGCCTGGAGGGTTACGGGTTCTTTCAAGTAAGCTGTTTAGACCAGGAGTGCACTCACACACCCACAATAGCAAATTAGGAAGAGGTATTGCACTCATCTGCCAGTCCCTTACATTCTCTCCAATCCACCCCCGCACAACACCTGTCAGTTCCTCACTCTATCCTGTCTAACTTTCTGCTCAGCCCTCTCAGTCATTCGTACTCCATCTACTCAGAGTCAGCCCCAAAATACAAGTCCTCTCACAGCCCATCTACTCAGAGTCAGCCCCGATATCAGTCCCTATCACAACCCATCTACTCAGTCAGTCCCGATATCAGTCCCTATCACAGCCCATCTACTCAGAGTCAGCCCCGATATCAGTCCCTATCACAGCCCATCTACTCAGAGTCAGCCCCGATATCAGTCCCTATCACAGCCCATCTACACAGAGTCAGCCCCGATATCAGTCCCTCACAGCCCATCTACTCAGTCAGCCCCGATATCAGTCCCTCACAGCCCATCTACACAGAGTCAGCCCCGATATCAGTCCCTCAAAGCCCATCCAATTCAAGTCTGTACTCTACAGTAACCTCTCTCAGCCCCACTCCCTCCCCCCAGCGCCACTGCTTCTCTCCAGCCCAGGCCTACTACCTCTCCAGCCCAGCCCTACTACCTCCCCAGCCCAGCCCACTCCCTCTCTCTAGCCCAGCCCACTCCCTCCCTCCCTCCGGCCCCACTCCCTCCCTCCCTCCAGCCCAGCCCACTCCCTCCCTCCCCCTCTCCAGCCCAGCCTACTCCCTCCCTCCCTCCAGCCCAGCCCACTCCCTCTCTCTAGCACCAGCCACTCCCTCCCTCCCTCCCAGCCCAGCCCACTCCCCTCCCTCCCTCCAGCCCAGCCCACTCCCTCCCTCCAGCCCAGCCCACTCCCTCCCCTCACCTCCCCTACCCCCTCCCTCCAGCCCAGCCCACTCCCTCTCTCCAGCCCAGCCCACTCCCCTTCTCCAGCCCAGCCCACTCCCTCTCTCTAGCCCAGCCCACTCCCTCCCTCCCTCCAGCCCAGCCCACTCCACTCCCTCCCTCCAGCCCAGCCCCACTCCACTCCCTCCCTCCAGCCCAGCCCACTCCCTCCCTCCAGCCCAGCCCACTCCCTCCCTCCCCCTCTCCAGCCCAGCCCACTCCCTCTCTCCAGCCCAGCCCACTCCCTCCCTCCGGCCAAGCAGACAGCAATAAAACTAAGATGGGTGGAAAAACATTGTTTCCTGTTTCCAACACCTGGCCACAGGCCCCAGGGAGGAGAGTGGAGGTGGGCGGGGGGGGGGGTCGTGTGGAGAATCCTGCCCTGTCGGGGGGCCTGTCAGGGGGCTAGGCTGTGATGTATGACCCCTCTACCCCTCCATCCTCCACGGCCCTGCGGTACTGAAGACCATGGCCTGGTCTGGCCACCCACAGGAACTGTGAAGTCTGGGTCCTGGCTAGCTACTGCAGAATGAACACAGCGCTGGAGGCCATTCATCTATACCAGGGGTACTCAACTCTTACCCTACGAGGTCCGGAGCCTCCTGGTTTTCTGTTCTACCTGATAATTAATTGCACACACCTGGTATCCCAGGTCTAAATCAGTCCCTGATTAGAGGGGAACAATGAAAAAATGCAGTGGAACTGGCTTCGAGGTCCAGAGTTAAGTTTCAAGGCTCTAGAGTGTGTTACTCTGAGTGTTATAACTGCTGCCCCACAGAGCCTGGGACAGTGGTCTCTCTGAATGTCCCCAGGTCCCCCTCTGTGTGCACCCCTACCATATTACCACTGATCTACTGGTAGTCCTTAGAGCAGCCAGAGCTCTGTTATCTCATCCAATCCTCTGACTCTGCATTACCCATTATTACTTCCTTTAGTTCTTATTGGTCATCTCCCTCCCTCTATTGATTCTGTACACCACTATTCTACCATGCCTGACTCATAGAGGCTTTTCCTGTGGCATTGACACGGCAGCTGTTGAAAGACACTACCTGTAGCATGTCACAGTCTCACACCACTGTGCCCTCCCTGCTTACCCCTCTGACACTCTCCCTTCTCCACCTGGGACCAGATTACTTTCCCCCCTCCTCCCCCTCTGTGACCCGATTCCTTCCACTCCCTACTCCTCCCCCCTCTGTGACCCGGTGCCTCCCACACTCTCCCCCTCCTCCCTCTCCCTGTGGCTGTCAACCCCTACTCCCTTCTCTGGCCTCTCCCCTTCCTCCTTACCAATCTCACCCTTTTACAGCTGTGACTCGATGCCTCGCCCATCTCTCCCTCCACCCCCTCCTACTCCTCCACCCTCCTCCCCCATCTCCCCCTCACTCTCCACCTCCTCCTGCTCATCTCCACCTCCTCCTGCTCATCTCCCCTCCTCCCCCATCTCTCCCTTACTCTCCATCCCATCCTGCTCCTCCCCCCTCATCCCTCCTCTGTGCCTCCCACCCTTCACCCCCTCCTACTCCTCCCATGTCTCTTCCCTCTTTACCTCGAAGACGGTGAGAGCAAAGGGGTGCCCCAGGTGGTCCTGGGAAAAGAGCAGCACTTTACGGTTGTCACCGTTCAGGTCGATGCTGGAGAGCAAGTGCAGCTTAGAGTCCACCCAGTACAGACGCCTGTTGGATAGGTCTGAGATAGGGAGAGAGAGGGAGTGAGAGAGAAGTGAGAGGGAGAGAGAGAAAGGGGATGAGAGAGGGGGAGAGGGAAGGGAGAGAGGGGGAGGGAGAGAATAAGTAAGGGAGAGAGAGAGGGAGATAGGTGGGGAGAAAGAGAGAGAAAGAGAGGAATGGAATGGAGAGGAGAGAGCGAGGGAGGTCAGGTTAATGTACGGTACAACACTTCTTCAGAAGTTAATGAGAAAAGGTCTAGACAGAGAGTTTGATGGTTCTGGTCCAGTAGAACATCAATCCTCTTTGTCAGCCATGCCCTCCAATTGGACAATACAATAGCGATCAGAAGGTTGCTGGTTCAATCTCCAGATGGGGAATACTACAAAAAGTCCCCTGAGCCTGGCACTTAACCTAACCTGACCTCAAGCTAATATCAAGCTATGTCAATCGAGTGTGTGTAGGTGTGCAGTTAATAAGGCTAGCTAGATCAACTGTTTTGGAAGTGAATAAGCAGGTCGGCAAAGTAAATATTGATGTAATAACACAGCTGTAGGGAGTCAATCAGGTAACAGCGGTGCTTTATTCATTCACAACCTCACCTTTCTCCACTCAGCCACTCATACAATCAACCATTCTACTCTGCTCTGTCTGCCTGCTGGCTGTGAAATTGATGAAAAGGGGAAAATAATCCCTTTTTTTTTTTTTTGAGAAACAAAATTAGCCAGCCAGTGTTATTTTCTCTCTCTCTCACGCTCCTCTAACTCTCAACATAACTTGTTTTCATACAGATGTAGCCTTAGCTAGCGACACCTCAATTCCACACCCTTCTCTCTCTCTCTCTGCTCTGTTGTTCTCTCTCTCTGCTGTTGTTATCTCTCTCTCTCTGCTCTGTTGTTCTCTCTCTCTGCTGTTGTTATCTCTCTCTCTCTCTCTGCTCTGTTGTTCTCTCTGATGTCTCTCTCTCTCTCTCTGCTCTGTCGTTCTCTCTCTGTCTCTCTCTCGCTGATGTCTCTCTCTCTCTGCTCTGTTGTTCTCTCTCTCTCTCTGCTCTGTCGTTCTCTCTCTCTGCTCTGTCGTTCTATCTCTGTCTCTCTCTCTCTGATGTCTCTCTCTCTCTGCTCTGTCGTTCTCTCTCTGATGTCTCTCGCTCTCTCTGCTGTTCTCTCTCTCTCTGCTCTGTTGTTCTCCCTCTCTCTGCTCTGTTGTTCTCTCTCTCTGCTCTGTTGTTCTCTCTCTCTCTGCTCTGTTGTTCTCTCTCTCTATGCTCTGTTGTCTCCCTCTCTGCTTGTTGTTCTCTCTCTTGCCTCTGTGTTCTCGCTCTCTCTGCTCTGTTGTTCTCTCTCTCTGCTCGGTTGTTCTCTCTCTCTCTGCTCTGTTGTTCTCTCTCTCTCTCTCTGCTCTGTTGTTCTCTCTCTCTCTGCTCTGTTGTTCTCTCTCTCTGCTCTGTTGTTCTCACTCTCTCTCTCTCTGCTCTGTTGTTCTCTCTCTCTCTGCTCTGTTGTTCTCTCTCTCTCTCTGCTCTGTTGTTCTCTCTCTCTGCTCTGTTGTACTCTCTCTCTGCTCTGTTGTTCTCTCTCTCTGTTGTTCTCTCTCTGCTGTTTGTCTCTCTCTCTCTCTGCTCTGTTGTTCTCTCTCTCTGCTCTGTTGTACTCTCTCTCTGCTCTGTTGTTCTCTCTCTCTGTTGTTCTCTCTCTGCTGTTGTTCTCTCTCTCTCTCTGCTCTGTTGTTCTCTCTCTCTGCTCTGTTGTTCTCTCTCTCTCTGCTCTGTTGTTGGGATGGAAGGGTGGAGGGATGGAAGGATGGAGGGATGGAGGGGTGGAAGGGTGGAGGGATGGAAGGGTGGAGGGATGGAGGGGTGGAGGGATGGAAGGGTGGAGGGATGGAAGGGTGGAGGGATGGAGGGGTGGAGGGATGGAAGGGTGGAGGGATGGAAGGGTGGAGGGATGGAGGGGTGGAGGGATGGAAGGATGGAGGGATGGAGGGGTGGAGGGATGGAAGGATGGAGGAATGGAGGGGTGGAGGGATGGAAGGGTGGAGGGATGGAGGGGTGGAGGGATGGAAGGGTGGAGGGATGGAGGGGTGGAGGGATGGAAGGATGGAGGGATGGAGGGGAGGATGATTGGGGTATTGATGACACAGCTGGGGCCGCTTCATTCACAGCTCTGCTGAAATAACAAACTACAGGCTGACTGATGACAGAGCCACACTGACTGACTGACTGACTCACAACTATGTGACAGAAATGGTTGTTTTACAATGTTTTCTTTCTTTCTCTCTTTTCGCTTCTCACCTCTCTCTGTGTCTTCCTTTCCCTTCAGCCTTTCTCTGTATCTGTAATATCATCATGTAGCTCTCCCTCATTCCTTCCTTCCCTACATCCCTCCCTCTCAATTTAAATTTCAATTCAATTTAAGGGCTTTATTGGCATGGGAAACATATGTTAACATTGCCAAAGCAAGTGAAGTAGATAATAAACAAAAGTGAAATAAACAAAAATGTACCTCTCTCTCCCTCATTCCCTCCCGCTCTCCCCAGTGCCAGTCTTACCCAGAGTGATTCCGTTGGGCCACTCGATCCTCTCTGACACCAGTACCTGGCGGTCCACTCCGTTCATGCCAGCCTTCTCTATCTTTGCCTGGGTCCCCCAGTCAGACCAGTACATAAACCTACAGGAGAGAAAGGGGATTTAGATTGAACAATAACTACAATAATCACATAGTGAGGATATGTAGCCCACAGTATGGAGAGCGAGAGAGCGAGAGAGAGAGACAGACAGACAGACAGACAGACAAAAAATGCTATTAGGTGACTATCAGCAGTGCAACCTTACCTGATACTGTAGTAAAGAATCTCAGATAAATATCTAAATGGTTTAAAAGTAAACCATCTCCACTATTGAGCCAAAGGCAAACTGTGTACATATCTCCCAGGCAGCAGCTCTCTGTTCTACCTCCATGATATAAATATGCCAGCCAGGCAGGCAGGCAGGTAGTATACAGACCAGCGGGGACAGTTAGCTAACATTGTCTTCTCTCCCTGTACTGAGGAACCAAACCTGCGTTTGGCTCATTTGCATGTTTCATGCTCGTCTGGCTCAGTAATGTTGTGGAAAGAAGAAGGCCTTGGGGAATAGAGTTGTCAGGGAGAGCCAGGAAGATGGGAGATGAGAGGAGCTTAAGTGTTGAGAGAGCTGTGATGCTTCAGACTGAGACACTAGATAGATGCTATTGATGCCTACAGCTACGTCTGATAGGAAAAGAGGTAGGGAGGTAGGGAGGGAGGGAGGGAGGGAGGGAGGGAGGGAGGGAGGGAGGGAGGGAGGGAGGGAGGGGAAGAGGAAAAGGTTAGAGGGGGGGGGAGGGGGAGGGGGAGGGAGGAGAGAGTGAGAAATGGAGAAAGAGAGAGGGAGAGAAAGAGAGAGGGGAGAGAGAAACAAGGCAAGATGCTGAGAGGAAAGAGCAGGTGACTGACCACGTTTTAGTGTTCTGATCTGTTTCAGTGTTCTAACATGTTTCAGGTTTCTGACCAGATAGGCAACACATAATGTGACACATCATGGACAATCAAGCTGTCTTTTTTACCCAACCTCTCTCAAACTCTTTATGTATGTCTCTGTCTCTCAATTTCAATTTCAATTTCAATTTAAGGGCTTTATTGGCATGGGAAACGTATGTTAACATTGCCAAAGCAAGTGAAGTAGATAGTAAACAAAAGTGAAATAAACAATAAATATTAACAGTAAACATTACACTCAGAGGTTCCAAAAGAATAAAGACATTTCAAATGTCATATTATGTATATATACAGTGTTGTAACAATGTGCAAATAGTTAAAGTACAAATGGGAAAATAAATGAACATAAATATGGGTTGTATTTACAATGGTGTTTGTTCTTCACTGGTTGCCCTTTTCTTGTGGCAACAGGTCACAAATCTTGCAGCTGTGATGGCACACTGTGGTTTTTCACCCAGTAGATAAGGGAGTTTATCAAAATTGGATTTGTTTTCGAATTCTTTGTGGATCGCTGTAATCTGAGGGAAATATGTGTCTCTAATATGGTCATACATTTGGCAGGAGGTTAGGAAGTGCAGCTCAGTTTCCACCTCATTTTGTGGGCAGTGTGCACATAGCCTGTCTTCTCTTGAGAGCCAGGTCTGCCTACGGCGGCCTTTCTCAATAGCAAGGCTATGCTCACTGAGTCTGTACACAGTCAAAGCTTTCCTTAAGTTTGGGTCAGTCACAGTGGTCAAGTATTCTGCCACTGTGTACTCTCTGTTTAGGGCCAAATAGCATTCTAGTTTGCTCTGTTTTTTTGTTTGTTCTTTCCAATGTGTCAAGTAATTCTCTTTTTGTTTTCTCATGATTTGGTTTGGTCTAGTTGTGTTGTTGTTGTTGTTGTCCTGGGGCTGTGTGGGGTCTGTTTGTGTTTGTGAACAGAGCCCCAGGACAAGCTTACTTAGGGGACTCTTCTCCAAGTTCATCTCTCTGTAGGTGATGGCTTTGTTATGGAAGGTTTGGGAATCGCTTCCTTTTAAGTGGTTATAGAATTTAACGGCTCTTTTCTGGATTTTGATAATTAGCGGGGTATTGGCCTAATTCTGCTCTGCATGCATTATTTGGTGTTTTACGTTGTACACGGAGGATGTTTTTGCAGAATTCTGCATGCAGAGTCTCAATTTGGTGTTTGTCCCATTTTGTGAATTCTTGGTTGGTGAGCGGACCCCAGACCTCAGAACCATAAAGGGCAATGGGTTCTATAACTGATTCAAGTATTTTTAGCCAGATCCTAATTGGTATGTCAAATTTTATGTTCCTTTTGATGGCATAGAAGGCCCTTCTTGCCTTGTCTCTCAGATCGTTCACAGCTTTGTGGAAGTTACCTGTGGCGCTGATGTTTAGGCCGAGGTATGTATAGTTTTTTGTGTGCTCTAGGGCAACGGTGTCTAGATGGAATTTGTATTTGTGGTCCTGGCAACTGGACCTTTTTTGGAACACCATTATTTTTGTCTTACTGAGATTTACTGTCAGGGCCCAGGTCTGACAGAATCTGTGCAGAAGATCTAGGTGCTGCTGTAGGCCCTCCTTGGTTGGTGACAGAAGCACTCTGTCTCTCTCTCTCTCTCTCTCTCTGTCTCTCTCTCTCTCTCTCTCACTCTCTCTCTGTCTCTCTCTCTCTCTCTGTCTCTCTCTGTCTCTCTCTCTCTCTCTCTCTCTCTGTCCCTTATTTTTTACATCACTCCCTCACCTCCTCACTCCCTCACCTTCTCTCAACACTAACCCCAACTCTACACCAACCTCCCCCCTAACTCCCCAATCCCATCCCTCCCTCCGATCCAGCCCCCTCTCACCCTTGTCGGGGGTCCACAGCGATGGCCCGTGGTTCGCTCAGCTCGGTGGCGATCAGCACCCTCCTCTTCTTGCCATCTCCCGTGGCGACGGAGATGGTCTTATCTCCGGAGTCGGTCCAGTAGATGTTGTTATGGACCCAGTCAACAGCCAGCCCCTCTGGAGAGGTCAGAGCTGTCTCGATCAGAGTCACCTGCTCCGACGAATCACTGGCCTTGTTGATGTACGCACTGGGGAGTACAGAGAAGAAGAGGTTATTATGACATTATTATAACACATACTTATACATACACATGGACAGTATATTAAGACACACAAAGAGAACAACAGAAACAATCAACTGCAGACCCATCCAGGTGTCAGAGTCCATATCAGACCACTCTGTATTACAAAACAATGTACTGATACATTACATAGAACAGGACCAAAAGTCAGATACAAGAGCTTAACTGACTTAAAGAGCTAAGGCATCCATCTGTTGTCACCCTGGGGGAGGGACTCTCCTGGTCAGTAATACACCTGATAGGCTGTTGTCACCCTGGGGGAGGGACTTTCCTGGTCAGTAATACATCTGATAGGCTGTTGTCACCCTGGGGGAGGGACTCTCCTGGTCAGTAATACATCTGATAGGCTGTTGTCACCCTGGGGGAGGGACTCTCCTGGTCAGTAATACATCTGATAGGCTGTTGTCACCCTGGGGGAGGGACTCTCCTGGTCAGTAATACATCTGATAGGCTGTTGTCACCCTGGGGGAGGGACTCTCCTGGTCAGTAATACACCTGATAGGCTGTTGTCAACCTGGGGGAGGGACTCTCCTGGTCAGTAATACATCTGATAGTCTGTTGTCAACATTGGGGGAGGGACTCTCCTGGCCAGTAATACATCTGATAGGCTGTTGTCGACATTGGGGGAGGGACTCTCCTGGCCAGTAATACATCTGATAGGCTGTTGTCGCCATGGGGGAGGGACTCTCCTGGTCAGTAATACATCTGATAGGCTGTTGTCACCCTGGGGGAGGGACTCTCCTGGTCAGTAATACATCTGATAGGCTGTTGTCACCCTGGGGGAGGGACTCTCCTGGTCAGTAATACACCTGATAGGCTGTTGTCAACCTGGGGGAGGGACTCTCCTGGTCAGTAATACATCTGATAGTCTGTTGTCGACATTGGGGGAGGGACTCTCCTGGCCAGTAATACATCTGATAGGCTGTTGTCGACATTGGGGGAGGGACTCTCCTGGTCAGTAATACATCTGATAGTCTGTTGTCGACATTGGGGGAGGGACTCTCCTGGTCAGTAATACATCTGATAGGCTGTTGTCACCCTGGGGGAGGGACTCTCCTGGCCAGTAATACATCTGATAGGCTGTTGTCGACATTGGGGGAGGGACTCTCCTGGTCAGTAATACATCTGATAGTCTGTTGTCGACATTGGGGGAGTGACTCTCCTGGCCAGTAATACATCTGATAGGCTGTTGTCGCCATGGGGGAGGGACTCTCCTGGTCAGTAATACATCTGATAGGCTGTTGTCGACATTGGGGGAGGGACTCTCCTGGCCAGTAATACATCTGATAGGCTGTTGTCGACATTGGGGGAGGGACTCTCCTGGTCAGTAATACATCTGATAGGCTGTTGTCGACATTGGGGGAGGGACTCTCCTGGTCAGTAATACATCTGATAGGCTGTTGTCACCCTGGGGGAGGGACTCTACTGGTCAGTAATACATCTGATAGGCTGTTGTCACCCTGGGGGAGGGACTCTCCTGGTCAGTAATACATCTGATAGTCTGTTGTCGACATTGGGGGAGGGACTCTCCTGGCCAGTAATACATCTGATAGGCTGTTGTCGACATTGGGGGAGGGACTCTCCTGGTCAGTAATACATCTGATAGGCTGTTGTCACCCTGGGGGAGGGACTCTCCTGGTCAGTAATACATCTGATAGTCTGTTGTCGACATTGGGGGAGGGACTCTCCTGGCCAGTAATACATCTGATAGGCTGTTGTCGCCATGGGGGAGGGACTCTCCTGGTCAGTAATACATCTGATAGGCTGTTGTCGACATTGGGGGAGGGACTCTCCTGGTCAGTAATACATCTGATAGGCTGTTGTCGCCATGGGGGAGGGACTCTCCTGGTCAGTAATACATGTGATAGGCTGTTGTCGACATTGGGGGAGGGACTCTCCTGGTTAGTAATACATCTGATAGTCTGTTGTCGAAATTGGGGGAGGGACTCCCTGGCCAGTAATACATCTGATAGGCTGTTGTCGCCATGGGGGAGGGACTCTCCTGGTCAGTAATACATGTGATAGGCTGTTGTCGCCCAGACAGGAATACCCAGACAGGAACATCTTAACCTGGCAACTCTCTAACAACTCCTGCCCTAATCCTATTTCCTGTAGAAACTAGCTATTAGAATGGGCTTGTCGCCTTTCATCAGCAGACAAAGCAGCCAGCCTCTTTTCTTAAAGAGGGGGATTTGTCTGAGTAACTGAGGTGAGATGACCTGAGAGGAGACACAGCAGATCCACCATGAAACATTACTCCTCCACTACCTGGCTAGGCCTGTAGGAGAGCTTTATTAACCAGATGCAATGTCCCAATTCACACCCTAACACAACAGGGAGATAGAGGAACTAAAAGCTGGGAGAGTGGAAGGAGGAGGAGGATGGGGAGGAGGAGGAGGAGGAGGGAGAGGAGAAGGGGGAGGAGGAGGAGTAGGAGGAGGAGGGAGAGGAGGAGGGGTAGGAGGAGGAGGAGGAGTAGGGGGAGGAGGAGGAGGAGAGAGAGGAGGAGGCGGAGGAGGAGGAGTAGGGGGAGGAGGGAGAGGAGGAGGCGGAGGAGGAAAATTATTGAATAAAAAGGATAGGAGAGACAGGGACAGCAGACACACACACACACACAGACAGATAGAGAGAGCGAGCGAGACAGAGACGGATGGGGACAGACAGGGGAGGCAGTCTCATTAATTAGCTGTGTTATTGTTGATTTATTGATTATTTATTGTTGATCTCAGATGTTTTAATCACAGCAGGAAGTAAGCAGAGCTGCATGGACCCGCCACCACACTAACCACTATTAATTAACGCTAAGATAACGAGGATGGAGGATAACACAGAGGGGTTCACCACAGAGGGGCTCCCCACAGAGGGGTTCACCACAGAGGGGTTCCCCACAGAAGGGTTCACCACAGAGGGGCTCCCCACAGAGGGGCTCCCCACAGAGGGGTTCACCACAGAGGGGTTCACCACAGAGGGGCTCCCCACAGAGGGGCTCCCCACAGAGGGGCTCCCCACAGAAACACCTCACCACTCTGATGTTGTCATTTCTATGTGTATGTTTTGTATTATTTATAAAATATTTAAAATATATTTTTTAAAGAAACACCTCACCACTCCTCCCCAGAAAATCATCCAGAGTGACAAGTGATGACTACACAACATGGAACTTGGAATATCCATAGCATCTCAGTGGGTATCCTACTGTGTGGCTGTTGCCTAATGTTAGCACAGCAGGGGTTAAGGTATACAACACGACAATTTCAGACCAGCGTGTGAGAAGTGTACGATACTGGTACACTAATGATGGAGTCTATGTGCACTTGCTGCTGTGCCAGCCCATAAGGAAGTATACAGGTTCTCTGCCAGTGGGTGTGAGGGCCAACTCATAGTCTGTGGTTATATGCTAGTTCTGAAGGAGAGTGTATAAAGACTGTACTTATCAATGTCAAATCAGTGTGTTTGTGTCCTCTCTCCTCCTCGGGCCCTGGGGTGTGAATGTGTGTGTGTGTGTGTGTGTGTGTTTGTTTGTGTGTGAGTGTGTATGTGATGAGTAATGGGGTGATTATTCAGGGAGAGGAATTAGAAGCAGCATATGGCCCAACTGAGATAATTTACCCTGGCCCCTGCCTCCAAGGGAGGGTGGCAAGCTCGTCATACACACACACTAGTGGATTTCTAACTATCTGTGTGTGAAGGACAAACAGCCCCATCATGCACCATCCATCTCTCCATTCCAGGTGTGCTTCGGGCATCAGCGTCATAATGTGTGACATGATGGAAAACGAACAACACACAGAGAGAGAGAGAGAGTGAGAGAGAGTGAGAGAGAATGAGAGAGAGAGAGAGAGAGGAGATGACAGGCAGCCAGGTGTTAGCTGGCCCAGGGTCTGGGTGAATGGGTTTGAAAATGGCCCTGGTCTGATGTAGAGTGATGAGCTTAGGGAGATGGATGGAGCCTTATCTCGACCCCTCCCTCCCTCCCTCCTCATCTCGGACACAATCAAGACAAAGCCGGGCCACTTGTCCCATCAGGTCAGGGCGTTCTGAGTTGGCTCCATGTATCGAACCACGGCAGACACACACACAGGAGTGGAAGGGAAAGAACCCAGTGGAGAGGGAGTGACAAATGAACAAACATAGTTTCTTCTCTCATTATGATGTTCTGAAATGTTCTCACCATCAGCACATTGTCTACTCAGACAGAAATAGAAGCTAGTGTGTGTTTGTGTACTTGTTTGCATGTCCAGTAGCTTCCTCTAGCACCCTAACAAGCCCCTGGATACATAGATCTGTGACTCATGGGCCTGTCATGATCTGTCTGTACACATACAGAGGGGAGAAGTGCTAAGGAGATCAGTAGTGAGGTGCTGTCTTCAGTAGCCATTAGCATGCACTCAGTCAGTCAAGAGAGGAGAGAGAGGAGAGATGAGAGAGGAGAGAGGGGGAGAGGAGAGTGGAGAGAGGAGAGATGAGAGAGGGGAGAGGGGAGAGAGGAGGGGAGAGGAGAGAGAGAGAAGACATAGAGGAGAGAGGAGAGAGAGAGGAGAGAGAGAGAAGACAGAGAGGAGAGAGAGAGGAGAGAGGAGAGAGGAATGGCTCTGTAACTTCAGCCTGATAAGCGCCTTTCCACATAACCAGAGTTCGGCCAACTTTTCGAATTTAGAACATTGTTCTAATTCTAGACATTCAGTTACACAGCATTGTTTAAATATTCCCCATGTAATGTTAATTGGGAGCTAACATGGCTGCCATAGAATGTTGTAGTGTCATGTAACATAATTCAACATAATTCAGAAACCTCAATGTCCCAACTCTCTAAATATATGGCTCTGCACCATATTCACACTCACAGCAGATTTGTGCGTGTGCACCATGTGTGTGTGTGTGCGTTACCTGTAGATCTTGCGGTGGTAGAGGTCACACCAGTACATCTTGTTGGTGGTGACGTCCACATCCAGGGCTACAGCGTTCTTCAGAGCGGGCACCACCTGGGTGTAGTCTTTCTTTATCAGGTCTATACGGCAGATCTCATGGCGGTTGGTGAACATCAGGTAAGGGCTCTTCCCTGAGACACAACAGATATACAATATGATAACATTTCAATGCTGAAAACATTGATACAGACAGAGGAAAGCATTATTACAAAGTACAAGCTCGTCCCTGAGAGAGAACATTGGTAAAGCTAGATGAAACATTGGTAAATATAGATGAAACATTGGTAGAGATAGCTGAAACATTGGTAAATATAGATGAAACATTGGTAGAGATAGTTGAAACATTGGTAGAGATAGTTGAAACATTGGTAAAGATAGCTGAAACATTGCTAAGCATGGAAAAAACAATTCTGATGATGTGAAATCAAGATCACAGTCACTGTTCTTATAACAGCTTATAATGGTTGGAAGGTCAAATCAAATCAAAAACAAATGTTTTTATTTGTCACATGCTTCGTAAACAACCGGTTTAGACTAGCCTATGCAAAGGGCCAAACAGTGTTCATGAGAAGATTAATACTAGTCAATAATTCACAGGTGTGTGCAATATTTTAACTAATTTCCTTCTAACAGAGTTACAATTTCCTTCCCACAAGGGACAAAGGTCAACAGAATATTTCACAACTCTTCCAGTAATACTTTAGAAATGACTTTAGACGCCACTTCCTTGTTCCTGGTTGATTGACAATGACAGGGCTCTAATGTCACCTCAACACCTCTCCTTATATCCAGTCTCTGTTTGTCTTGTAAAAAAGAGAGAATCTGTGGTCCATGAATCACGCTGTTCTATTCTTGGTACTGCAGATAGGCAAAGCTGTGTTTCTAGGTTATTATCCTGGGGTGAAATGTGTGTGTCTACGTCATCTACCCAAGGTATATTTCTCAGCACAGTGAAAGAGAATGACTCATTTGTTTGAATAATTCCCGCAAGGAACACACACACACACACAAATACACACGGTAGCAGCAAACACACATGCACACAAACAATTAAACAAAATGCATACACATGCAGTGGGGAAAAAAAGTATTTAGTCAGCCACCAATTGTGCAAGTTCTCCCACTTAAAAAGATGAGAGAGACCTGTAATTTATATCATAGGTACACGTCAACTATGACGACAAATTGAGAAAAGAAATTCCAGAAAATCACATTGTAGGATTTTGAATGAATTTATTTGCAAATTATGGTGGAAAATAAGTATTTGGTCACCTACAAACAAGCAACATTTCTGGCTCTCACAGACCTGTAACTTCTTCTTTAAGAGGCTCCTCTGTCCTCCACTCGTTACCTGTATTAATGGCACCTGTTTGAACTTGTTATCAGTATAAAAGACACCTGTCCTCAACCTCAAACAGTCACACTCCAAACTCCACTATGGCCAAGACCAAAGAGCTGTCAAAGGACACCAGAAACAAAATTGTAGACCTGCAACAGGCTGGGAAGACTGAATCTGCAATAGGTAAGCAGCTTGGTTTGAAGAAATCAACTGTGGGAGCAATTATTAGCAAATGGAAGACATACAAGACCACTGATAATCTCCCTCGATCTGGGGCTCCACGCAAGATCTCACCTCGTGGGGTCAAAATGATCACAAGAACGGTGAGCAAAAATCCCAGAACCACACGGGGGAACCTAGTGAATGACCTGCAGAGAGCTGGGACCAAAGTAACAAAGCCTACCATCAGTAACACACTACGCCGCCAGGGACTAAAATCCTGCAGTGCCAGACGTGTCCCCCTGCTTAAGCCAGTACATGTCCAGGCCCGTCTGAAGTTTGCTAGAGTGCATTTGGATGAGCCAGAAGAGGATTGGGAGAATGTCATATGGTCAGATGAAACCAAAATAGAACTTTTTGGTAAAAACTCAACTCGTCGTGTTTGGAGGACAAAGAATGCTGAGTTGCATCCAAAGAACACCATACCTACTGTGAAGCATGGGGGTGGAAACATCATGCTTTGGGGCTGTTTTTCTGCAAAGGGACCAGGACGACTGATCCGTGTAAAGGAAAGAATGAATGGGGCCATGTATCGTGAGATTTTGAGTGAAAACCTCCTTCCATCAGCAAGGGCATTGAAGATGAAACGTGGCTGGGTCTTTCAGAATGACAATGATCCCAAACACACCGCCCGGGCAACGAAGGAGTGGCTTCGTAAGAAGCATTTCAAGGTCCTGGAGTGGCCTAGCCAGTCTCCAGATCTCAACCCCATAGACAATCTTTGGAGGGAGTTGAAAGTCCATGTTGCCCAGCGACAGCCCCAAAACATCACTGCTCTAGAGGAGATCTGCATGGAGGAATGGGCCAAAATACCAGCAACAGTGTGTGAAAACCTTGTGAAGACTTACAGAAAATGTTTGACCTGTGTCATTGCCAACAAAGGGTATATAACAAAGTATTGAGAAACTTTTGTTATTGACCAAATACTTATTTTCACCATAATTTGCAAATAAATTCATTACAAATCTACAATGTGATTTTCTGGATTTTTTTTTCTCATTTTGTCTGTCATAGTTGACGTGTACCTATGATGAAAATTACAGGCCTCTCTCATCTTTATAAGTGGGAGAACTTGCACAATTGGTGTCTGACTAAATACTTTTTTCCCCCACTGTACAGTACCAGTCAAAATTTTGGACACACCTACTCATTCAAGGGTTTTTCTTTATTTTTTACTATTTTCTACATTGTAGAATAGTAGTGAAGACATCAAAACTATGAAATAACACATATGGAATCATATAGTAACCAATAAAGTGTTAAACAAATCAAAATATATTTTATATTTGAGATTCTTCAAAGTAGCCACCCTTTGCATTGATGACAGCTTTGCACAGTCTTGGCATTCTCTCAACCAGCTTCATGAGGTAGTCACCTGGAATGCCTTTCAATTAACAGGTGTGCCTTGTTCAAAGTTAATTTGTGGAATTTATTTTCTTCTTAATGCTTGAGCCAATCAGTTGTGTTGTGACAAGGTAGGGGTGGTATACAGAAGATAGCCCTATTTGGTAAAAGACCAAGTCCAAATTATGTCAAGAACAGCTCAAATAAGCAAAGAGAAATGACAGTCCATCATTACATAAGACATGAAGGTCAGTCAATCCAGAAAATGAAAGTTTATTCAAGAGCAGTTCCAAAAACCATCAAGCGCTATGATGAAACTGGCTCTCATGAGCACCGCCACAGGAAAGGAAGACCCAGAGTTATCTCTGCTGCAGAGGATAAGTTCATTAGAGTTACCAGCCTCAGAAATTCCCGCCCAAATAAATGCTTCACAGAGTTCAAGTAACAGACACATCTCAACATCAACTGTTCAGAGGAGACTGCGTGAATGACAGGCCTTCATGGTCGAATTGCTGCAAAGAAACCACTACTAAAGGACACCAATAAGAAGAAGAGACTTGCTTGGGCCAAGAAACACGAGCAATGGACATTAGACCGGTAGAAATCTGTCCTTTGGTCTGATGAGTACAAATTTGAGATTTTTGGTTCCAACCGCCGTGTCTTAGTGAGACGCAGAGTAGGTGAACGGATGATCTCTGCATGTGTGGTTCCCACTGTGAAGCATGGATGAGGAGGTGTGATGGTGTGGTGGTGCTTTTCTGGTGACAGTGACAGTGATTTATTTAGAATTCAAGGCACACTTACCAGCATGGCTACCATAGCATTCTGCAGCGATACGCCATCCCATCTGGTTTGCGCTTAATAGGACTACCATTTGTTCTTCAACAGGACAGTGACTCAACACACCTCCAGGCTGTGTAAGGGCTATTTGACTAAGAAGGAGAGTGATGGAGTGCTGCATCAGATGACCTGGCTTCGACAATCACCCAACCTCAACCCAATTGAGATGGTTTGGGATGAGTTGGACCGCAGTGAAGGAAAAGCAGCCAACAAGTGCTCAGCATTTGTGGGAACTCCTTCAAGACAGTTGGAAAAGCATTCCAGGTGAAGCTGGTTGACAGAATGCCAAGAGTGTGCAAAGCTGCCAACAAGGCAAAGGGTGGCTACTTTGAAGAATCTAAAATCAAAAATATATTTTGATGTAGAAAATGTAGAAAATAGTAAAAATATTTTGAATGAGTAGGTGTGTCCAAACTTTTGACTGGTACTGTATGCTCACACACATACACTCAAACACACACACACACACACAGCTCTAGCTTAGCTGCGTGGAAAGAAACCTACTCCCCAAACCTCCACCTCCTACATTATCCTCTAACTGCCTTCTATTTTCATTTGGCTTTCCATCTCTAATAGCTGCTCTGTCGTCACACACACACACACACACACACACACACACACACACACACACACACACACACACGCACACACACACACGCACACACACACACACACACACACACACACACGCACACACACACACACACACACACACGCACACACACACACACACACGCACACACACACACACACACACGTCTTGGTACCGTACATGAATAGCTCACAAGGAGAGTGTGGAGTAGACCTCTCACTCATTGCCACACAGCAATCTCTCTCCTCTCTCTTCTCTTTGACCATCTCTCTTATTACCCCTCCATGAGTAGTTCTCAACCTCACAGAATCACCATCTCAAGTAGCTCTGTTCTGTTCTGTTCCCTGGCCTAAATGGTGATTGAGAGAGAAAGGATGAGTTGGAAAGATAAAGAGAGTGAGTGAGTGAGTGAGAGAGAGAGAGAGAGAGAGAGAGAGAGAGAGACAGAGAGAGAGAGGAGATGACAGGCAGCCAGGTGTTAGCTGGCCCAGGGTCTGGGTGAATGGGTTTGAAAATGGCCCTGGTCTGATGTAGAGTGATGAGCTTAGGGAGATGGATGGAGCCTTATCTCGCCCCCTCCCTCCCTCCCTCCTCATCTCGGACACAATCAAGACAAAGCCGGGCCACTTGTCCCATCAGGTCAGGGCGTTCTGAGTTGGCTCCATGTATCGAACCACGGCAGACACACACACACAAACACACACACACTTGCACACACCCACCAGCCACGCCTAGATTAGTTTCTCAGTCCCAGGCTGCTACGGGCCACTGCACGGGGAGCAAATATTTTCATTTTC